CAATTCTATTTTCAGACCCGAGTTTGGAGAAGTGTACAACATCCTTGCCTCAGGTGCAGAAACTGCAACCAGATCATCTGAAAATGCAAATTCATATTGAATCCTTAGAAACTGCTGCCAAATCATTTGAATCCAACCAAATGTGACTTTAATGAATAATAACTATTTAGGATCATATGTACATGCTAGTTGCAAAAAAGTGAGTTTAATGAATATTAACTGGTTGATGAAATGCCTAAATGGTTTTTTTTTTTGAATTTAATGTCATCTCAGCCGGCTATAATACCATGTGTTTGATAAAATTCTCCAATGACATATCTCACCAATAGTTTTGATTGCTCATCATATAATCTAAAATAGAAATATATTTTGTACATTTAAATGGCTTAAGTAGGGTTCAAGGTATATAACATGATGTACATCCCAAGTTATGGCTCATATATCATATTAACAAGACGTGTGGCTCATATATCATATTAACAAGATGTATAACCAAATGTTGTGCGAGAATAAAATTGTATGGTAATACTGCCAGATATATTTTTTGAAAGGATGAAGTCATTATAATAATTATTCATTTTAAAACATGTAACTTATTAAATAAATAAAAACTAAAGCAAATATAAAAAGTATACAAACAAAATTTTACATCATTTCTTGTTTGGGGGATGTGTGTATGGTTGTCGTTGGTTTCTAGTAGTGTGTTTTTAGAAGTATATATTTATTTGTTGACTTATTTCTTTACTACCACAAACATATGTGAAGTTTCTTAACAAAAAGTCGTTCAAATAAATATAGATTGAAATGATGCATATAGGAAAATTGAGAAAAGTAATGAACACTAAAAATAGACTATATCAAGCAAGATATGTCAATTCAAAGCAAATCCTTCATTAAACAAATTTGAAACTTGCTTCATTGTTGGTCTTTCATGTGGATGGTAGTTCAAACATGATCTTGAGAGACTCAGAACCAACTCAACTTGTTTCTCAACTTGTGGTGAGGGAGGTCGTATCCGACTATCTCCCACATTTGTTGGCACCATATAAGACAATTTGGGTAAAGATATTATGAGTTCTCCAGGATTCTTTCCCATTCTCACTTCTAGTCCAACAACTCCAAAGCTATATACATTGCATTTCTCATTTGCCACCATTGTATAAGCAAGCTCTACATCCAAAGGAACATGAGACAAAAACAAAAAAAGCTATTTCAATCCTCAAGATTCTAACATAGATACATATATATGAATATGTTTTCCATCTTTAGCAATCTTTATATGGCCTTAAACAGGCCCCACGGGCCTGATATCATTGGTTTGCTTAACATGCTTTACACATGGGGTTTTGTCACAGTGTCACTGACTCGTCTCTATTCATTTATCATCATGGTTCTGACATTGACTACTTGTTATATGTTGATGACATTATGTTGACTGCATCCTCCGTGACTCTTCTTCAGTTTATTATTGCTCAGCTTAGTCGAGAGTTTGCCATGTCTGATCTTGGGGCTCTCAACTACTCTGATCTTGGGATTTCTGCTACTCGCTCGCCTCATCGCCTTTTTTTTCTCAGAGAAAGTAGCTTCCGAGATCCTTGAGCGAGCCCACATGCTTCAGTGCAGTCCATCACATGTTTGTTTATGCATGGCCCTCATGAGCCTCACCTACACGCTCTCAAACTTGTTCTGCGCTACATCCGAGGGACTCTGGACCATGGTCTTCAGCCTCACATATCCCCTACGTCGGATCTTCATGCATACTCTGATGCTAACTGGGGCAGCTGTCCAGTCTCTCGTTGTTCCACCTCTGCATATTGTGTTTTTCTCGGTGACAACCTCATCTCTTGGTCGTCTAAACGCCAAGGGGTCATTTCATGGTCTAGTGCATTGGCGGAGTATCGCGGCGTTGCTAATGTCGTTGCCTGCCAAGACATGTTGTGTTCGAAATTTATTTAGAGAGCTTCATTGTTCGCCTACCAAATCCACTATTATCTACCGTGATAACATTAGCTCCGTATACATGACATCGAACCCTGTTCAGCACCAGCGCAGAGAAACACATTGAGATTAATATTCATTTTGTTTGTGATCTGGTTGCCAGAGGCGACGTTCGAGTTTTTCACGTTCCCTCATCCGTTCAGTATGCCGACGTTTTCATCAAAGGCCTTCCAACACAGCTCTTCAACGATTTCAAGACCAGTTTGAACGTTCGGAATTCTTGGGGGTGGGGGGGATGTTAGCAGATATGTTTTGTATATACATTTGTGTTCCTGTTAGTTAGCCCATTAGAATTAGGGCTTTGTGTATTTGGCCTTTACGGCCTGTTTGTATTGTGTACATATACCGACTGTTTAATGAGAATTGTTTTTCATGGGAACATAACTATTATCAGTTATTGTTGGCTTTAACAATGTAATAATTCAACTTAACTTGATTATTTAGACATATTTATTTTTGTTTTCTGATAAATGCTAATTTATAGAAATTTCACTCCAACTGTGTTTTACTTCATAATCAGTTGTGTAATTAAGACTATTATATAGATGATCCACGTTGAAAACTATGTGAATGGGTCAATGGAGATAAGGACAAAACATAACTGTCCTTTAAAAGACTAAAAAAACAAATGAACATGGTGTGTTCATTGAAGGTGTGAATGAGGGAAAGTCGTAAATTAAAGAATATAAATATGTAGATAATTAAATAAAAACTGATGGTTTTTATTGTTCCCTGCATCTATTTCATCTGTTAATTCCTTTCATCTCCTGAAGCATCTAAAACGTCTTATGCTTGCCTAGATTTAAATAAGAAGATAATTAAATAAATAGTGAAATACAATTTTATTATTGTTTGTTTCTCATATTTCCACAACTGATTAGTATACACATATCTTTAGGGTCCTTATCTTCATACATTAGTGACACTATTCCCCGCAGATTTTTTGTTGGAATAAAAAGTGCAATATACCTTCGATTAAATTGTTAGACATATTTATTTTTTGTTTTCCAAGTAATGCTGATAAAAAATTCATTCAAAAAGCAAACATACCTATCAAATTGATGAATGCTCCCAATTCGGCAGGTAGATGAAAGAAGGAATTAAGTCTTGAAACGAAGCAACACCAAAAAAAATTTGATGACCCCGCATCTTAAGAAAGAATTTCGCAGATGAAGCTTTGAGATGAAAGTAAGGGCAGCACAAAAAAAAACGGTTGAATTTTGCCAAAGCTACACCAGGGGCAAAATGGTCAAAAGTTGAACCAAAAAGGAGAAAGCCATCTCACAGCATGTAAGTAGCAGCGCCATAAATGTTTAATTTCACCAAAGCAACACCAGGGGCAAAATAGTCAAAAGTTGAATCGAAAGGGAGGAAGCCATCTCATAGCATGTATGTACGTTACGTTCCACAACACCATAAAGCTCAGCAAATTTTTGTCAGCACCAATGGACCTGGTGAAAATAAACATCTAAGACTTTATTGATCAACATCAACATGAATTTTAAGCACCAGACAACCCCCCTCCCCAGGATCAATTGCACCAGTTTGCCATTGCAGGTTTGAATCTACTGCCTCTGTTATTTACCCAGTTCAAGAGTAGAAATTGAATCTCGACAAACACTTTATCTTGATGATTAAAAACTCTGGAATTGCGAGTTTTCCAAAGAGACCATATAATGTTATAGAACAAGGCTCCCAACAATTCTACTTTCATACCCCTGTTTGGAGAAGTACACAACATCCCTGAAGAAGACCAGGGTTTCGACACCATTGACAAAACTAATTCCAGATTCCCAAGTGCAGAAACCACAACCAAATCATGCTGAATATGCAAATTCATATTTGTTTTATTTGTTTCCAGATTGCAGTAACAATGCTCCAGATAACAGTTTTCAAGTAATCGTGTAACATAAGAAATAAACACTGATTCCCTACCAATCTTTATGGACATTAGGCCAATGGCAATCATAGTGGGTGGTGACATGATATCTTCAGATACAAGATGGATGTCACATTTTTGAGGTATTTACGTTGCCAAAGCTTGACATATTTTGTGATACATAAAATCATTTAACATTACATCCATCTTCATGCCATATAATGTTAAAATTAAATGAAGGGGAGATCAGACATAAACCAGTAAGAAGTTGAATTCACATGAACTCCTATTCTGGTCGTATTTCAAAGAGAAGTGAAATGCATACCAATAACTAGAATTAGTCATGTATGTTTTAGTTGAACTATTTATTTAGTTCTCTTGTGTAAATGTTTTAGCCTGTCAAATTTGGAATTCAATAGCTAAAAAGCATGCTAGGAATGGAGTGTGAGTCAAAAATGTTCAAGAATGTTTAAAATGCATTGATATATGATTTTTTTTTGTTAATGTTTAAAATTTTCCATCTTTGTAAAGACACATCTCATCTATAAAGCCATGTGTTTGATAAAATTCTCCAATGACATATCCCAACATTATTTTTGATTGCTCCTCATATAATCTAGAATAGAAATATATATTGTATATTTGAAGGACTTAGGTGGGGTACGGGTTATATAACGTGATGTACGACCCAAGTTATGGCCCAATATCATATTAACCATGTGTGTACCCACATGTTGTGCGAGGATAAAACCGTAAGACAGATATTTTTTTAAAAAGTATGACATCGTTATAATAATGATTCATTTTTTTTACAAGGTTTAATTTGTCATTCTTGAAAGACATTACAAGGTCTAATTTGTCATTCTTGAAAGATGACAACTGTTTTGATTTATCCGTTGTTGGATAAGTCTGGTAAAACGGCCTATTGAAACACAGAGAAAAACACAGAACGATTTGTTTTCATCTTCTTCAATTGATTCTGATTTAGTGCCTAAAATCTGAATTGTTGCATCAGGAATTATCTCAGTTTGGATTTCGTGATACCCAAGGCATATAGGGTCGAAATATCAAACAAGGAAAGTGTTTACACGATTCCTGTTTGTTATCCAGATTTCCCAGAACCCTATTTCAATTTCCCCAACACATTCTCAGTTGATGGGTGAAGTTTCTTGACAGCTACCACATTGTTAGGTTGTAGCTCGGCTTTGTACACAGTCCCATATCCTCCGGTCCCAATGCAATATGATTCATCAAAATCATTTGTTGCATTCAAGATTTCAGCATACACCAGTTTTCCATCAAAACTTGTAATAGAGAAAGAATCACCACTTTGTTCGTCCAATTGTTTTTGTGGAGACTTTTTCTTTTTTTGTTGATAAGCAATGAGGCAGTACGTGAATACACCAAGTAAAACAGTCCCAATAAGAGGGAGTGTAATTACAAGGACGAGCTTGTGATGAAAGAGATCATTTTTCTTCTTCATAATGTGACTTGGACAAAGTTTCACTCCCGTAACATTCCCACACAAATCCGAATTGCTTTCGATGGACGCATTTACAAAGTTAGCGCAAAGGGGGACCGGACCTGAGAGCTTATTGAAAGAAAGATTGATATCAATCCCGCCAGGCAAACTTGTAAATGCATCAGGAATAGAACCAGATAGTCTATTATGAGAAAGATCCAATTTTTGCAAACTTTGCAAATGTTGAACTTCAGAAGGTATCTCTTTCATAAGAAAATTGTGAGATAAATCAAGTTCCGTAAGATGAACTAATTTCCCAATCTCAGATGGAATTTTCTCACTGGGCTTGTTGTTACTAAGATTCAAGTTGTGGATTTGTGCCCACTGATCAATAATTTTTGGAATCGGCCCATTCAATCTATTTTTTGATAGATCAAGTACTTCAAGGAGTTCACAAAATCCAAGCTCCAGAGGTATAACACCTGAAAGTTGGTTGCCAGCCAAATACAGTTCCAACATACTTTTCATCTTCCCAATCTCCTTTGGGATCTCACCAACCAAATAATTTAAAGACAGATTAAGTCTTTGTAGTTGAGTTAAATTTCCAAGCTCTGGAGGAATAGAACCACTAATTTTATTGTTGTTCACCTTAAAATCAGTGAGAGACTTCAACTTCCCAAGTTCACTAGGAACGGGACCAGCAAGCTCATTGTTATGCATATAAAGGAAATTTAAAGATGTCAAATCACCAAATGATGAAGGAATAAAACCACTAAGTTGATTTCTGGTCACCGAAAGATGAGTGAGAGATTTCAACTTCCCAATTTCACTAGGAATGGGACCAGATAATTTATTACCACCGAGGGTCAGCCACTGTATGTTGCTGAGGTTTGCTAGTGATGAAGGAATAGAACCACTAAGTTTGTTGTCGCTCACCTCAAGATCAGTGAGAGACTTGAAATTCCCAAGTTCAATAGGAATGGGACCAGAGAGTTGATTTTGGAGTGAATAAAGTTTATTCAAAGATGTCAAATCACCCAATGATGAAGGAATAGAGCCATTAAGTTGATTCTCACTCACATCAAGACGAGTGAGAGACTTCAAATTCCCAAGTTCAATAGGAATGGGACCAGAGAGTTGATTTTGGTACAAATAAAGGACATTCAAAGATGTCAAATTACCCAATGATGAAGGAATAGAACCACTAAGCTGATTTCTGCTTACCGAAAGATGAGTGAGAGACTTCAACTTCCCAAGTTCACTAGGAATGGGACCAGATAATTTATTGTTATTGAGGGTCAGCCATTGTACATTGCTCAGATTAGCTAGTGATGAAGGAATATAACCACTAAGTTGATTTTTGTACACCGCAAGATCAGTGAGAGACTTCAAATTCCCAAGTTCAGTAGGAATGGGAACAAAGAGTTGATTTTGGAACAAATAAAGTTTATTCAAAGATGTCAAATCACCCAATGATGAAGGAATAGAGCCACTAATTTGATTAGTGTTCACCTCAAGATCAGTGAGAGACTTTAAATTCACAAGTTCATTAGGAATTGGACCAGAGAGTTGATTGGTGTGCAAATAAAGGACATTCAAAGATGTCAAATTACCCAATGATGAAGGAATAGAGCCATTAAGTTGATTCTCACTGACATCAAGATCTATTAGAGACTTCAAATTCCCAAGTTCAATAGGAATGGGACCAGAGATATTGTTTGAGTATAAGTATAAGATGGTTAGCTGGTGCAGGTTTCCTATTTCAGGTGGGATTACTCCAGAAAACTTGTTCAATGAAAAATCAAGATATGTAAGTTTGGACAAAAGTTGGATTTCTGGTGGGATGGGGCCAAAGAACTTGTTTATATAGAGATCAAAATGTGTAAGATTGTGTAGCAAAGAGAATGGAAATCGATGAAGCATACCCTTTAGTCCAGATGATGTGACGTTCAAATTCTGAATGCTCCCATCAGCATTGCAAACTACTCCAAACCAAGAAGTGCATGGAACTAATGCACTGGAATTCAAAGGGAGAGGAATCCATGAAGAGAGTAAGGATTTTTTTGCGATGTCAAGGCTTGCTTTCCATTTAAGAAGAGCATTGGCTTCCTCCAAAGAAGCAGAAGTGAAATTTGGTATGGAGAAGAGTGTGATGATTAGTAGAGCCCGAGAGAAAAATAATATGTTTGAAGAAGACATTATTTTCTTTGACATGTTGCTTTTAATAAAAAATGAATGGTTTGCATGTCCTAATTTATACTTGAGCTACCTTTTTCTCTTGTTTTCTTTTTCACATACTTGAGAAGGCAATGTCATAATTTTCCACATGGAGTGTCTTTTACGTTTGAAGTCGGTGTCAAATTTTTCCACAAAGCCGTGTATTAGTATTAACCAGAAAACAAAAAGACAATGTAATAATAAAACTTAACTTGATTATTTAGACATTTTGAATTGTATCTATCTGTCATGACTTTAATTCATTGTAACCCAAAATTTAGCTAGGCGCTAGGATTACAAAAAGACAACATGCGGTATTATATGTTATTGTTGGATTTAACAATGTAATAATAAAACTTAACTTGATTATTTAGACATATTTGTTTTTTGTTTTCTGGTTAATACTAATAGAAGTTTCACTCAAACTGTGTTTTACTGCATAATTATTTCTGTAACTGAGACTGTTATATAGATGATCCATGTGAAAACTGTGTGACTAGGACAATGGTGATAGGGACATAAAATAACGGTCCTTTAAAAGACTAAAAAAACAAATGCAGATGGTGTGTTCATTGAAGGTGTGAATGAGGGAAAACCGTAAATTAAAGAACATAAATACGAAGATAGTTATATAAAAACAGATGGTTCTTATTGTTCCCTGCAATCTATTTCATATGTTAATTCCTTTTGACTCCTGAAGCATCTAAAACGTCTCATACTTACATAGACTTAAAAATGAAGATAATTAAATTAAAAGTGAAATACAACTGAATTATTGTTTGTTTCTCATATTTCCACAACTGATTAGTTTACACAAATCATTAGAATTCATCTACACATCCCATTTCGTGATCAATTCTTTCTCTTAGGGTCCTTATCTTCACGTATTAGTGACAGAATTCTCGACAGATTTTTTGTTGGGATAAAAAGTTCAATGCAACTCAGAATACATTTATGTTTGTTTTCCAAGTAATTCTAATAAAACTTTCTTTCCAAAAGAAAACATACCTATCAAATTGATCAATGCTCCCAATTCGGCAGCCAGAAGAAAGGAGGAATTAATAAGTCTTGAAAAGAGAAAACTATAAAACTTTGATATCTCTACATTGTATCGTAAGAAAGAATTGTGCACATGAAGGCTTGAGATGAAAGCAAGTGCAGCACCAAAAAAACGGTTGAATTTTGCCAAAGCAACACCAGGGGCAAAATGGTCAAAAATTGAATCCAAAAGGAGAAAGCCATCTCACAGCATCTATGTACAACACCATAAAGCTACTGCCTCTGTTATTTACCCAATTCATCAACATCACCATTTCACACCTGACCATGGAAAACAGTTGCCGATTCAATCTGCAATGGCTGTGAAAACCTCAACACCAAGACACCAAGTGCAGAAAATGTTATCCATTGCAAGTTTGAATCTACTGCCTCTGATATTTACCGCAGTTGAAGGATAGCAATTGAATCTCATCGAACACTTTATGTTGATGATTAAAAACTCTGGAATTGTGTGTTTTCCAAAGAGACCATATAACTGTATAATAGCACAAGGCTCCCAACAATTCTACTTTCAGAAACCTGTTTGGAGAAGTGCACGGCATCCTCAACATATCAGACATTGAAGACAGGGGTTTCACTAGCTTACACCAAGTCATCTGAATCCTTTATCGATCATGCAATGATGCAAATTCATATTGAATCCATCAGAAACCGCTGCCAAATCATTTGAATTCATCCAAATCTCAGGTAATTTACTAACTTGAAACAGATTGGTGATTATTCTCAAAAGTGTGAATCCATTTCCATAGTAGTCGCAAAGTGGTTGAAATGGATATTAATTAATTAAAAGGTATGTATTGGTGTCTTTCCTCATTTTTTTATGTTATCTTCTTCCAACACTAGCTCCATCTAGGATCATTTGTACAGTGAGTCTTGTGACTGTTAATGCCTAAATGATTTTTTTATTTTTGAATTTAATGCCACATCATTTGTATGCTTTGTTCATAGCACAGTGTTGTGATTTCATAGAGTACTTGAAAACAAATAATATTTACAGAAAATAAGTACCTTAACGATCTCCAAACATTTGTTAATTCTAACCCAAAAAATTGTACAAACCCAATACAGAATGAGATAACTATTAATCAATTATTTTTACAATAAAAATTCATAATTATTAATCAATTATTTTCAGTATATTATTAACCATTAATCATAAATTTACAAACATAGATTATTTATCCATAACAGCAATGCACTTATTCTTTATCCATAATAGAAATGTATATTTATTTATATATGTGTATACGTTACGTAAGGTTTTTAATCTAAATTAATTATCTTCTTTGATTATTAAAAAAAAATACGCAGGTCGATGCACAGTGAAGAAAAGAGAAACATTTTATTTGAATACATCAATTCTCATGGACATTTTATCAAACACTTAGAGTGCAGTATCAAAAACTCATAAACAACTTAATTCAAAGCATATCAATTCTTAAAACAAGACAACCGAAAATTTCACTTGTAGACATCTCGGTCTAGCAACTTCCCATGCATAGGAAAAACCTCCGGTGCACAGTGAAAAAAGAGAGAACAAAATATTTGGGTTAAAATCATAAAGATAAGAGAATTTCCGATTGATGACTTGATTTCACAATAAGCAATTGCTTTAAATACAAGCAGAAGAGTTGTTGAGAGTGAGATATACACTCCTGATTCTATGCTATGACTATTGGCCTTTTGACTATATCAATACACACATTTACAATAAGTGGAATACATATTATACATATTTGCTATTACCCCCCGACAAGCTAAAGACTGGGACGCACTTGAAGCTTGCAACGAAGGAAATTGATCCAATCTTTTCCCAGTGGTTTGGTGAAGACATATGCAAGTTGATCCACACTTGAGACGAGGTTCTTTGTCATGAAAATAGCTTCTACATTGTCACATAACAGCAAAGGAGGAGCTGAAATAGAAACTTGTAAGTCTTGGATTAGCTGTTTGAGCCATAGCAATTCTGCAGTTGTGTGAGTTAATGCGCGATACTCAGCTTCGGTACTTGATCGAGCAACTACTTGTTGTTTCCTGGAAGTCCAACTTATTAGATTAGAACCATGAAAAATGGCAAAACCATATTGGGAACGATTGTCGTCGGGATCGGAGTTCCATCCTGAATCAGAAAAAGCATGTAGACCCTTTGCATTGGTGGATTTGAAGTGAAGTGAGTAATTTTGAGTCCCATTTAAATACCGGGGTATGCGCTTAACGGCTTGCCAATGGCGATTAGTGGGAGAGTGCATGAATTGACAGACACGGTTCACCGAATATGCTATATCAGGTCTAGTGATGGTTGCGTATTGTAGAGACCCAACTATTTGACGATAAAGTTTAGGATCAGAAAATGGGTCTCCTTGTTTGACCAAGCGACTGTAGGGGTCAGATGGTGTTGTCATTGGAGATGAAAGAGACATATTGCTTTTGTTCAATATGTCTATGACATAAGATTCTTGAGATAAAGTGATACCAGATTTGGACTTCTGGACTTGCAAACCCAGAAAATAATGTAAGTCACCCATGTTTTTGTGAGAAAATTTGTTGTTGAGGCTGCAGATGAAATTAGATACTTTGGCATCATCTGAACCTGTGACAATCAGATCATCAACATATATCAAGACATAAATAGTTGTCATCTGTGAAACATGAACAAAGACGGAAGTGTCAGATTGACATGCACGGAATCCATTTGAGACTAGGTAGGTTTTGAGTTTATTAAACCAAGCCTTGGGTGCTTATTTGAGCCCATAAAGTGTTTTGTGTAGTTTACAGACATAAGTAGGATGTGTTGCATTTTCAAAGCCCTTCGGTTGCTTCATGTAAACGATCTCAATTAAGTCACCATTTAGAAAAGCATTGTCGATGTCTAGTTGTCGAATTCTCCAATTTTTTGAAAGCGCAATCGACAAAACTAAACGAATGGTGGTAGGTTTAATTACCGGACTAAACGTGTCAAAATAGTCAACCCATGCCTCTTGACTGAAGCCTTGAGCCACCAATCGTGCTTTATATCATTCAATTTTGCCATCAGCCCCTTTTTTGATCCTGTAAATCCTTTTGCAGCCAACAATGTTAGAGTTAGTGGGACAAGATACGAGAGACCAAGTGTTGTTTTTCATGAGAGCAGCATATTCTGCCCTCATCACATCACGAAGGTGTGTTGGCTTGGCTCGAAATTGGGAGATGAACTATCAGCAAGAAGCGCTTTCGGTTTAAGAGATTTCGTTTGAGCCCTAGTTATCATGGGGTGTTGATTATTTTCAGTCGGTCGAAAAATTGTTGCTCGTTCTCATGAGGATGCAGTAGAATTTTGAGAAGTTGGAGCTAACGATGGAGACGCCTCAAGTGTTAGGGTAGACAAGATGGGCTCATGTGATGGTGGGGTGTTAGATGTAGTTGTCTCATCCATGTGAACTTGAGGAGCTGGACCTGGCATTGGGCCTTGAGACATCGAACCAGGTATTGGGCCTTGAGAAATCGGACTGGGAATGGATTAAGAGTGGCAACACTTGCTGGAGATAAATTATATGGCGATGAAGGTGTGAGATTTGGTGAAGTTGAGCTATCATATGGAAATTTTTCTTCATCAAAAACAACATGGCGTGATATATATATTTTTGAGGTAGGTTGATGATAGCAAATATACCCGTTGTGAGACGCACTGTACCCCAAGAAAATACATGGTTTCGATCGAAAATCGATTTTGTGAGGGTTATAGGGTCGGAGATAGGGGTAACAAAGGCAACCAAAAGTCTTGAGAAATTAATAATCTGGAATTTTTTTGTATAACTTTTGGTAGGGAGATTCATAGTTTAGGACAGGGGTAATGGTGCGATTGTTCAAGTATGATGCAGTTTTGAATGCATGTTCCGAAAAAAATTGGTAATGAAGATTGTGCTAGTAAAGTGAGACCCTTTTCG